AGGTACTGCCCGGTAATGGTCGGTATTGCTCGTATGTAGTATTGCTCGTACTGCTAGGTACATGCTCGATACCCCGGTATCTTACAGAAACAACTTACGAACTTTAAAAACAAGCAAAACTTCAAAATTACCTTACAATAAAATTTTGTACTGGGGGCGCGCCCGGAAACACCCGTAGGGCTCTGCCCCTTGACCGGCGACCTGACCGGGCAGGTCGAACCCCGCCAAGGGGGCAGCGCCCCTGGATACCCGAAGACCGGTATATTGTTTATTCATGTTGTGATTTTTTTTTATCTTCACTTTAAACAATTAATTTCGATGTAATTCATACATGATTGGTTGTTAGCAAAATGAGCTCGGCTGCTGGCGGGGTGGATTAGGTGAAGGTTAAAAGAGCCATCTGAGAAAGATAAAGCCATTATGGATTCATGTTAAAGTTAGGAAAAGGACATTGGAGGGGGAATGTGTCATTCAAATAGCAATATTGTGGATCTACAAAAGGATCTTATTCAGGGTGAAGGCACATATACTTAAAATTCATTGGCTTATGAAAGTATAAAATGTGTCCTAAGAATTACTAGTCACAGTTGATTGAATTGAACAGACGTTGTGAAGCTGAATCTAGATAAAGAACATCCTAAAGGGTACATTTGCCATCTAAGTCATGGCTCATCTAACACTTTCTTCCATCTGTGAGAGTTGATCAAGCTTTATCATTTAAAGTGAAGGTATAAAACAATGAAAAAAAAGGAGTAGCCAGTAGTCCTCTAGAGAATGCTTTAATTTTCAGCAGCGAGAGAATTGGATGTGAAATAGCAAGGATGTTTTTTCGCGGACTCCTTCACCTTGCAGGAATCTCAATATAAAAATACATTCATTTTTGCATGTAACACAACCTCGCAGATATGTTCCCCTGGCTACAATGCATTAAGATCGAAATTATTAGAAGAAGACAATATTGAGACATTGCTTGAACCAACAAAAGGTGGAAAGAAAAAGTGTTAGTTGTGTGTGATGGTTGGACAGATCCTCAAAGAAACCCCTTATTAATTTCATGGCTGTTACAGAGAATTACCCAATGTTCTTAAAGCAATGAATTGTGAAGGGAATACAAGGATAAACTTTTGCAATTTGATTAAAGAGTGATAGTCATGATTGGGCCTTCAATGTTGTGCAGGTTATTACAGATAATGCACGGTGTGTAGAGCTGCAGGATTATTGGTGGAGCAAACTTATCCCCATATATTTTGGACACCCTGTGTTGTGCACACTCTAATCTTGCTCTAAAAAATATTTGTGCAGCAAGAATACAGAGGTAATGAAATCATCTATGCTGAATGCCATTGGATAACAGTGTGCAGATGATGCTGTTCTGATCAGAAATTTTATTATGAACCATTTTATATGAGACTTTCAATGTTTAATGATTTCTCCACTTGAAATGCTAGCTGTTGCTGAAACTCGTTTTGCCTCTGTAATAATTATGTTGAGAGATTCAAACAAATTAAAAATGCTCTTCAATCTATGGTGATTTGTGAGAAGTGATCTTGCTATCGAGAAGATGTGTGGAAGGCAAAGTATGTTAAGAAAAGGTCTTAGATGATTTGTGGTGGGATAATGTAGACTACATTTTGGCTTTCGCTGATCCAATTTATGATATGTTGAGATAGGCTGACACAGATAATCATGTCTACATTTTGATTTATGAATGTAGGACTCTATGTTAGCAAAAGTGAAAGAATTATATACAGACATGAAAGAAGTCAATTGATGAAGACTCAAGTTTTTGGAGCATTGTCTAACTATTCTTGAAGATAGGTGGCAAAAGCAACACACCTTTGCATTGTTTGGCTCATTCATTAAATCCAAGATATTTATATTTATCTTTTAAATTAATTTAAATTTGTTGGTAAATGATCTATAATTTAATATGCTTTGTATATTTGAAGGTATTCAAGTAAAGATGGCTTCAAGAAGACCTCAATGTGTCTCACCACAAAAAGATTAGAAGTTTCAAATATGAGAAAGATAGCCTGAAAGATATTTTCAAATGAAGAGGAGAGAAGAAAAATTAATATAGAACTTGCAAAGTTCTTTGGATATTTTAGAGGTTTTTGGTGATCAAGAATCTTTGGTTGATAGATGGAGGATGGATCCAAAAATGTGGTGGTTGATTCATGGAGCTTCAGCACCGCTTCTTCAAACAATAGCAATAAAACTTCTTGGTCAAGTATTATCCTCTTCCTGTTGTGAGAGAAATTAGAGCACATACTCATTTATCCAATCAATGAAGAGGAATAAAATAACTCCACAACGTGCTGAAGATTTAGTTTATGTACATACAAATCTTCGTCTTCTATCAAGGAAAACCCCACTTTATATGACAGGTGATAACAAGATGTGAGATGTTGCTGGAGATGGGTTCGAGTGCCTTGATGATATGGGATTATTGGAGGTTGCAAATCTTTCTCTAGATGAACCAGAGTTGGAAGCAATGATATTCAATGATGATGATATTGAAGGCCAAAGACCAACATCTGAATCTAATTTTATCATTCCCTCTATTGAGTAGTTAGACCTTCATGTTGTATTAAATGATTTTTTGCTTATATTTTTGTGTTTGTACTTTGTACTAGACATTTTGTACTAAACATCTTTATGTTATAAGCTAAACAAGTTATCATGAATTGATTTATTATTGCTTGACATTTTTACTATAATATCACCTTAATTTTTATATATTATATTAAAAAATTATTATGCCGTGTCCACGCCGCACCCGTGTCCTATATTTTTAAAAATTGCCGTGTCGTGTCGTGTCGTGTCCGTGTCGCCGTGTCCGTATCGGTGCATCATAGAATAGGAGGGATGTACCTTTTTGAAAATGATGTCCAAAGATCTTTTTGAAAAGCTTGAAGACCCCACAAGTAGAGTTTGTAAATTTGACTAGGTTGTATAATGATAGGCAAGTCAGCTGCTAAACTTGTCTGTAATAACTTGGACTCTCTCTACATTCATTGCATTTTATTTATATACAAAAGCATGTATTGTTTGTTTACTGGATGCACATTAGAAAAGCATGTATTTTTCATAGGTTTTTTCTATTGCTTTGTTTGGATGTGGCCTGGACTCTGTCGCGAAAAGCTCTTATGATAAAAATAAATTTTCTACCTCTTAAAATGTAAGCAATCTAAAAAAATGAAACTAGGCTCCATAGTTTTCTAATAAAAGAAAATTGCATGGCTCCCTTCAAGAAGCCAAGTTTTCAAAAATTAAAACAATCATGCATAGCCCAAAAGTGTCTCATGTAGAAAAACCCTCACTTAAGGACTAGATAACAAAAATCTTTTTTTTTGTGAGTCAGCATCTATATACTAATCATAATTAGGCATCTTGGCCTCAAAATCAAGCTATAAGCCCTACCTTCCTAAATGAAATAGTCTTCTATTCTACATTTACATTTAGACCAAGATACATGGTTTTAAAAGCGATTAGGAGGGTTTAGCTGGTAGTCCCTTCCATGCAGGACAATAAATCCAGAGGTCGGGCATGCTATGCCTCTTGTGAGGTGTAGTTTGTAAGCCCCTTTGCACTCGTTAGACTTAAGCTCGAGACACTACCTATCGGTAGTCCTCACCTTAATTTTAGAGTCCGAGGCATTGGTTAATTCCAAATCACCTTATAAGCCCTCACCTTTCGAGCAATTCCTTATTGTTGGAATGTAAGCCCCAACTTTCTAATCAAAATAATCAACTTAAATAAAAATTAGATTTCTAAAATATAAAGCCCAACATAGAATAGTTCGAGTACCTCTGAGTTTCCCTCAGAATCAAGTACGCATACGCTTCTTTCCTTTGGCCCTCATTCCAAGAAATCTGTTTCCAAGTTGAGCCCTTTTCTTCCTTGAAATTCCTAAAGGCAAAACCTTTAAGCAAGACTTTCATGGATTTCAAAAAATAAACTTTAGCCAACATTTAAATGACTCTCAAAATAAGAAAAACCACTAGTTTAATCAAAAGTCTTCCCAAGTCAAAGCTTGAGATATAATTAACCATAAGGGCTTGCCCCTATGGGACTGTACCCCAAGAAGAAAATAAACATCATTCGACCAAAATATCGAATTGAGGAATCTTTGTTCAAAATTATAAATTTTATCATTTAGTCCATAAGGAAATGATATTTTTACCCTTCGGGTAATATATCATCATTCTTATGTCGTACTCGATCATAAAATATGCAATCTGTTTGAGGATACAAAAATTCTTCAACAAGACTTGAGTAATACAATTGAGCAAAATTAGTTGCAACAACAAATTCTGGCAATTCCATTAAAAAAATCAATGATTTTTATAGAATAGTTCAATGATCATAAAAGCAAGTTGTGTAACAACAATCAAAGCAGAGGAGTCTCCCACATTAAAGAAGATTTAATGTTTATAACAATTGAGCTACAAAATGACATCCATGATTGACATAACTTTTTGTATCTATTGTTGACTTAATAAAAACCTTCAGCTGCCCCAAATAACAAGCTGCAGTAATGGCAAAAGCCTTAAAAATTTAAAGTTTCAGTAGTTTAACTTCTCTGAATTTTAAGTTAGGTAAAAGTTCGTAAATTCCATTGAAACAGAGGTGTCCAATTAAAGTGTGATAAATCAGACGGCACCAATTACCAATTCGCAGCACCCACCACAAAAAGAAAAAAGCGAAAGAGAAACAAAGCTATGATTCTCTTCACGGAAACATTTTACTAGCAATTAAATACATGAAAATAATCCAATACCTTGTACCAGGATATTAAGCATGTTTACGGAAACATGATTGATTCAAGATTGTGAAGTTAGGCCATATGTATTTTGTCATAAGAACTGTTAAAACGTGCATCCATCATTCAAACTTTAGAAAATATGAATACATATAATACAAGAAACAGCGTCATGCCACCACATTATGAGAAAAAGTAGGTTTTGAAATCAATTGTAAAAAAAAATATCAAATACCCGACACTGAGATTGGTGTCTGCACAAACGAGACACATGGCACGTTTTGGGACACTTTAGAGGCCTTTGATTCTTTTCAACACCACATGGGACCTAAACAAACACCATTAGAAAAAAAAAATTAGCATAGGAAAATAGAATTTGGAATGAAGAGATAGGAAAATTAACAAAAGTGCTACCAACACAAATAGACCCTCCCTCCCTCAACCACACCCACCGTATGTCTGTATGTGAACTTTTTGTGCGCACTAGGAAATCTGCATGCCAACACCAAGCTTGATTAATTAATGTATGTGGCATAGGTACAGCAGAGTTTTCTTCAAGTCATAAGAAATTTCTATTCTATTCAGCTGAGTAGCCAGCGTCCTCCAATTTCCATCCCCACCCTTGCTCTTATTTAACCTTCTTCACTTCCTCCTTTTGTTATTCCTTAGCTATTTCATCTTTTTTCCAGCCTGTATGTTGCAACCTTGAACAGTCGTCAGAGAGAGAGAGAGTCATCACAAAGAAGAACGCCACTATCACCCATGGCGCCTCTTCCATTTTGCTCCCCCCTCTACTTGCTTCCCATCTTGTTCTACCTTTCCCTGCCATGTTTCAACTTTCAATCAATGCCCACTATTGTGCTCTTGAGGTCTGCGTAAGAAAAGTCACGCTACTGCATTTCCCTCCTTTGCTCTTCTTTTTGTGCTTCTATAGAGTGTAGAGATTTTATGCTATCATTGTTAGTAAAGTGGTTCAATTAAACAATCATTAATGTGTGCCCTTCTCTGAACTTGGCATCAGACAGATAACCTGTTCTGTCTGTTGCATATAACTAATCTTATAGTTAATTTAATTAGATGGGTAAAGTATTTGGTAGTTAGATTGAATTAAAGGCTAAACCACATCGTATTAAAAGAATAATTATGAGGCTAAACCATTGCCATATAAAATTAACTTAGATTTTCTCAAAAATTATTTGCAAAATATATGTTTTAACGCCTCTGACAACAATGCTAAATAAGAACAAAGGGAAAATAAGGATTTATAGAGCTAAACCCAAATAGTTGGTATAAGGTTAATGCTGATGATTTAGCCTAGATTACACGACTAAATTTGGATAATCATTATTATTAGAATCAACTTTTCATTCACTCCTGTAGAGTGTAAGCTAAGATGTTAAATCTATTTTTCATAAATAAGTTTGAATAACTTCCAATTATAGGTCTGTCACTCAACCCCTTTCCTTCCAAATCCTCCGATACTAATTTTACAGACCCGAGAGATTCAAATTTTACCCTTTCTTGCCTATGCCCAAGGCGTCAAGTCGGTTTCAACTATGTTATCTTCAATAGATGACATTCCATCCATTCCTAAATTTATCAATACTAAGTTTTTTTTTTTCTTCTGACGCATCCACTACTATTCATATTTCTTTCTTATTCAATATGCCTATTAAGGATTTTTGTACTTCCTAAAAATTATATACAGCTTCTTCTCTTTCCTCCTTGTGGGCTTCGAAAATTCGGCCTTGACCTCCGCTCGCTTTTCTTTTTTTTTTCGGCGAGGGAGTTTTAACTGATAAGTTCCGAGGTAAATTTTGGAAGGCAGATGGGTTTGTAGATAAGACACTACCCAGAGATTTCGCCCTCATTTTGCGAGGACTTTATGATCTGAATTCTGGTTTCCTATAGGCGCAAAAGCCCCTATAGTTAATTACCCCTCCTGATAACGAGAGAGAACTTACGATTAAGGCTAGTCGTCGATCAGATACGTTGTATACATAGATACGTAGTATCAGGCATATAGTAGCAGCAATAGACATTGGTATTTGAAAATGTTTGATTTAAAAATTGGTTGGAAGTTGGAAGTTGGGAATTTGGTAAATTTGAATATTTTGGAGGTTTGAAAATTTGTGTTGCAAGAGTTTGATATTTAAAATTGAAAATTTCATCATCTACACTTAAAGCGGATGGTGGGGGAATGGATGATAGACCCGATCAAGATCTCATGGTTCCGTCGTCCCGGGCCATCGTGGTCCCTGGTCTACTTAGTCAGAGGAGGTAGTCGACCCAACCTGACAGAAGGATCCTTGTCGGCAGCCATGGGTTTCTTCGTCCAAGGGGACCTCGTAGACCTGGGATGAGTATTTTCCTATGGAGACAAATTTGAATCCACTTTAGCTAACAAAGGGCTTTGTGCCCTATCGATTATATCTTATTGATTCATATCTCAAGGATTTGATGCCAATAAGGAACGTAACGGCGCTGGCCATAACTGGTATTTTGTGGTGCCATTTGGCGGCAAAACCACTCAGTTCAGAGGGTCCCGGGTCATAACCGTTTATCCTGCAGTGCCATTTGGCTGCAAACCGCCGATCAGACGACACGTACCACGCCCTTACTGGCAGGAGACTGTTTGAGAATTGATCCTAGTGATATTTTTGACTAGGCATTTGAGTCTTTGTGAGATGAAGTAAACTTTGATTTGTCCACCCCGACAAAATGTTGCGGAGGGTGGATGGATTTTTGCTTTGAGTAGTTTGATGGATTTATTTCAATTTTAAATTTTTTTTTTGGATTTTTGGGATTTGAAGATTTCTTTTTTGGATTTTGGTATTTTTTGTGGAGTTTGGAAGACATTTGGATATTTGGGAGTCATTTGGAAATGCTTATGAACCCCTCCGGTTGAGATAAGCAATCAACACGGCCATCATCGGAGTGTTCGGAGTCATTTTCCTTTATGGATTGAACCCTGTCGACTCTGTCTACTAGTCGACAGAGGATCAGGTTTCATGGATTATATGCCCTTGATAGTGAATTCTCATTGTTATGGGCCTTGAAGGCCTAATATGAATGTATTAAAACAAATACACTGGTCGCCACAACCGTGTATTTTTCTGAAAGTTCGAACCCTCTCGACTCCTATTGATTCGTATAGAAGGATCGAGTTCGAACTATAATTCACTTATCAACCCGCATAGCATCCATAGACGTCACATGTGTACCAATAACATATTCGTCGGGACCCATGAGGGTGTTTGGGGGCATTTATAATTATACCCTGTCGACTCCTTTTTACTTGCTTAGGATGATCGGGTTCAAATTTAATAACCCGCGCAGCATCCCTAGACATCACATGTGTACCAATAACACGCTCATCGGGGCCCACGCGGGTTCTCGATTGCATACCCTCTTTTAGTGTACCTATGTGTATACAAACTACGGTGCACGTGCGGGGTTTTTTGAAAGTATTTATAGGCGCCTTCTGTTCGCTTACATAGAAGTTGCGGATCAGGTGGCGTCGCGTAGCAGCTTCTGAGTTTAGTTGTTCGCTGCTTTATACATGTAGATTGTCGTGCACTACTTGCATGATTTGCGCAAGTAGATTGTAGTGCACTAATTAATCTCCTGCCTTGGGTCGTAGCAGCTTGCGCTTCTCGTATTCATCATATATTTTATGGCAGTCATTGGTCTTTTCAATACATTCGCCACTGGTGCATGTAGGTATTGCAGATCTTCTATTATTATTTGCATGCAGATCAGCTATCGCTCTATAAGGTATTTTAAGTCATGGTCTTGTAACCATAGCATATCTTTCAACATTCTCTTGTTATTTGTAAGCACATCGCATTTGCAAGCCCTTTATCTTCAAATGTTGTTTATTAGAATGATTTAAACCATGATTTGAAATTTACTTTCCTGCATGAGATTCAGATGGATCACCCTCTTTGATTAACATTTGTAATTCCTTCGTTAGTATATCTTCACGGAATTGAATTGTTGTTGATAACATATATGACATTACATTCCTTGTAGCTCCTTTAATGTCGCTCGTAGTATATTGTGTGCACTTCTACATTTGTAATGAACAAAATGAGCTACACTTATTGTTGATTTATCCATGCAAACCAAATATCTTTGTTTATAGGAGCAATTGAATTTGCTTGCATGACAATGCAGATATCACTTGTTCTCACTTACAAGTTGATTTTGCTTAAATGTTATAAGCCATTTAATTCTATCATTCATCATTTGTATGTCTTAAGAATTCATTCAACATTCTTTATGAGATCTCACTTGTTTATTTGAGTTTGGTTCAAATCAAATTCAAGTCCAAACTCAAGTTTGAGTTTGTCTGGTTAAAGCTTTGCTCCAAGTTTGAGTTCAAATGATTCGACTCATGGATCTTTTGAGTCAAATAAGATTCAAATCCAAGCCTAGTTGTAGTTCAAGCTTATAAGTCCAAGCTTACAAATTTTCATTATTTGATTCAACTTTGAGTTCATTTGGTTTAAATTTGGGTTTAATTTATTGCATATTTAGGTTCAAATTCAATGTGATTTTGTTCAATTCAAGCTCATATGCATGCCCACAAATCTTCTGGTTGAGTTCGAGTATCAAACTCAAGTCCCAAATCAAAGTTTCATGTGATCTTGTAGAGTCCAAGCTCAGATGTTCAAGTGTAGGTACAAGTCATATGTCCCCTATTGTCCTTGCAAGTGCAATTTCATATCCAAACTGTTCAAATTATGATTTGAGTTTGAGTTAAGATTTTGCACATTTTTTATTTGTGCTCAATTGTTTTATCAAGTCATTTAGATCTTGTTCAAAAGTCCAAGTACAAGTCCTTCGTAGTTCTTCTGAGTTCAATCAAGTTCATGTTCCAAATTGTTCGAAGTCCTTGGATTTTCGATCCAAATTTCGGCAACCTCCCGGCGTCTCCCCCGTTTAGGGGAAAAACCAGGAGACCGCCTGCCCGCCACGTCAACAAAGACATGCACAGTTGGTGTTTGTGAGACACTGCGGCAGTATTTTTATTTTTCTCCCACCACGCCAACAAAGGCGTGCATGGGATTTTTAAAAAGCATTTTTATGAAAAAGGCAGTTTTCTTTCCTCCCGCTCGGGGGTACTTATGAGTGACCTTGCCTCGCCGTAGGTGCCGCACCGGGGTCCTATCCAACCACGCGCACCAAAGGCGTGCTTGGGGCGGTTTTCCGGTTCGCCAAGAACATTTAAGTAGAGTTTTGAGTTTAAAAGAATTCGTACCTTCACGGGGTTGTCGATGTTGGCACATGGATCTAGGGGTCACTCGCCTACCTCGTCGTAGG